GTCTTTTAATTACGCTAACCAAACGGCTGTCTGCTTATCTGAATGCACTGCGCGTTCTCTCTCCATCTCTATGTGTGTGTGTGCAGGTGAATACATATATTAACACACACTAATGCATTTGCATTGTTTGGCGCGCAGTTAATATTTTATTTGCATGTTTTGTGCGGGAAAAACGCAAAACGCGCTGCTAAATACACGCTGCACTATGTTCTACAAAAACAAAAACAAACGTGCGCTTTATTCGCACCTGAATGCCATTACTTTTTAGAATTCGCTTTTGGTGTAAAAACATTGTTTGTTAAATAATTTATTCACTTAGCAATTCAATGACTTGACGCTGCATCATATTTCGTTGTGCATTTCAACCACGTCTTTATGCCAGAATAATACGGTTCTTTGTGGGGGTGTGTGCTTAATCTTGTGCTATAGATCCACATGGCTTGTACACATATACATACACATGTAAATATTTAAGAATAATTAAATTTTTTTATCAGCAAACCATTGAGTCGCTTTACCATAAAAAGAAAAAAGAGGTTCGAAAAGGACTTTTCGGTTACTGGCCTTGGTAATGTCTCTCTAATTCCATTATATCTTAATGGAAGTGTTCTCGTTGTTCTTCCGAATAAGCTCCCATATTATCTTTAAACTTATCTAAATAAATGAAGAATGTGACATATGCATCTCTTAGTGACATTCTACATCCAATAATGGAGTAATTCGTAATCATATCAGTGATCAGCTCGTCATAATTGTCAGCTCAAGTGTTTCCAAGGAAGGTTCCAGCTTTTATGTTCACCTCTGAAAGCTTTAGAAACAATTATTTTAATATTTGATGATTTTTCCCTCAAAATTCTCGGAACTGCAAACTTCATTGCTCTTGTTTCACCTCAGTAACAGCATAAAATAAAACGTAACATATTATAACCTAATTTATGTTATCAAAATAGTTAATAATAACTATAATATAATAACAACTAAGAAAGGGCTAAGTTCGGGTGTAACCGAACATTTTTAACTCTGCAACTTGCAAGGAACAAAAGCGGAGAACCACCTGCAGGTTTTGACAAAACTTTATATCAAACTAAGGAAAGTATCGCCGTGATTTCATCTATTTAAGAAAATAGGATATACTGTTATTAGAAAAAAATTATTTCTGAATTTCATTAAGATTCCTTACATATTGACCGATCGATACGGTATAAAGTGAGAAGGTTCGGAAATATTTATGTTAGGTATATGGGGGCTAAGGGAAGTGTCGACCCACTTTTACCAATTTTTTGCGCTAGTTATTTGATTGTGATAACTTTATTGATGTTTGATTTGCATACTGTAAAGTGAAAGAATCAGACAGAATTCAAAAGTTTGTTATACAGAAAGTAGGCGCGATTGTCATTCGTTTTCGCCCATTTTTGCAGTATCTAATAGGAATGTTTGGGTAACTTCACACACCGATTTTGTTTTGAAATCGGTTTAGTAGTTCCTGAAAGAGGGCGGTGCCACGCCTCTTGTCCAATTTTCTACTAGATTCAATATAGTCTTTCTTTACCATCCTGGCTGTGAAATTTAATGCTTGTGGCTTATTTATGTAGTGAGTTACCGTACTTTTAGCAATTTTCAACATAACCGTTATATGGGGATCGGGCGTGGTTACTATCCAATTTTACCAATTTTTAGGGAATAAATTACTTATTTTCAGCAAGTTAGGTTGATATATCTTAAGCAGTTTGAAAGATATGTATGTTTAACTAACAGGTGTCCCTAGCTACTGCGATCTCCTATATCAAATTACAGTTTTGTGTCTTAATTTTTAGCTTAGTTTCGGCACTTTAAAAGTTTTTGGTTAATGGCATTTTGTGGGCGTGACTGAATCCGCTCATTTGCAATACCAACCCACCTTGGATGCCAAGGAATGTGTGTACCAAGTTTCATCAAGATATCAAATATATATATTTATATTATAAATCATCGATAACATAACTATATATTCAAATTAGTGAAATTATTCATAAAAGAGTTTCAAATAGCACAAAAAGACATACAATTTGGACTTTCTCCACATTTCTTAAAGTCATTGGATCAAGGAGCATAATAAATTAAGTTTAGCACAATATCTATTTTTTGATGGTGTTGCTTACGAAAATATAGTAATAAATTATTTTTATTAAATGTTTAAACAATAAGTTACATCAAATTTTTAGTTCCTAGGCTATTATTCGAGGACTTTAGCCCAGTGAGGAGAAGATATCATTCGATTATTATATATATTTCGAATAATTATACCATCTGACCGGACTGACCAAAAAAAACCACACTTTCACGTATTTGAATACAAATCTTTATTATCGCCTTCAAAATATGCTCTTTTTGAGCCAATACAAACATGTCAATGATTAATCCAATTTTCAATACACTTGTTATAAGCCTCGATTAGGATGGTCTCCTGTTTCTGTAGATGGTGGTCTCGCATCAGCCAAATCTTGGATGTGTTTGCCACAACTTAATATGAGGAGTTAATACACAAACTATTCGTGCTAAAATATTTGAATAAATATTAAATACATTTTCGGACATGAAAATGATTCCTTATGTAAAGATTCATACTTTTAAGTGTTCTCAGTATATTCTACATCTTTTATAGAAGGTTTGGGTTATAATTGACAAGGGAAACTGTGTCAATTATAAGCTAAACCTTCTAATACAGCTGCCTTAGCTAAATTTTTAAAAATCAATACCCAGTCTGTTTAGCATAACCCGGTTTTAAAGCACAAATATTTATTTTATCTATAGTCATAGTAGTATTATATTACAATTTGGAGAAGGGGTTTCAACAACACTAAGATTGTAATTCCTTATGAAGCTCAAAATTGAATTTAATAATGATCTGTGGATTATTGCTTCGATTTAAAGAATAGTCCGTTATTATATAAATATTGTGGTTTTAAGAGTTGATAGAGACTAATTTTTCTTCGTTTTAATACGTTTTGTTAAACTCTTTCGGGGAATGAATTCAAACAATTTTCTCCATTTTCTACCATTATGGGAGTAAATTTGTGTTAAAGTTCAAATAAGCTACCAATTGTTGGCTGCTATTAAAATATACATCACGCCAATAAGAAAATAAATTCAACTAGCAATGCAGCAATATTATATACACGATTATATAGTGTAAACACTCCTAAACCCACCCATATGAGCGGATATTTGAGATAAGTGTTACTTTGTGAGTTAATGGAACAAAAATTAAAATGCATTAAAACAGGTAGGCACTCAACGAAAAAAAAATGTGAATTGACTCAAGGATATTTAATAAGCATCAATTTGTTTTTGAATTGCAATTTTTTATGAAATGACTCATACACTCACTCATATATATTTATTTGTAGGTTACGCAAGCATTTTTGGAAGTTTCGAAATAAACCTAATTAACTCCTAATTAGCTATGCGTTATCATTTTTCTATATGTATATATATATATATGTTACAGTGTGCTTCACAAATATTTATTTGCAAAGCATTCGGATTCAAAATTAAAGCAAGTCGAGCAAAATGCCATTAATTAGTTGTGAACCAAGTGTGTCAGTGTTCAATTTCGAATAACTGTAATACAAATAATAACATACAAAACATGCCAACTAATACAAATATGTTCTGCAAATTAGGATGCGCGTGTGAATATGCTGCAAATATGATTTGCACAAATTAAATGAATAAGCAAGGGAAACGAATATTAATTATTTGGCCTAATTTTATGAATACAACAACTGTAACTAATTTGCAGCATTTTTCGCATAATTTTTCTGAATTGCATTGGCCTTTATTGTTGTTATTTGTTTGTGCATACTTTCCATGATGATCTTAATGAGCAACATATGTGCGATTTCATTTATATAATTCAATTATATGCACATACATATATGTATGTATTGTTTATGTGCTCTTGCGGTTGTTTATGTATTTTTTGACTGCTGCGTTCTTTGGTAAATATAGTATATATATTTTTATACTATTGTGTATATAAATATAGATAGATGTATACAGCCGCTACGCGTTTTATCTTTTTTCTGTTGCACACACTTTACGTGGCCTTGCTCAGAACAAAAAACTTATGAAGAGTAGTAAAATGAACCAAATGAGCACAAAGGCGTTTAAAGATATGCGAATACAGATTTTTAACTTATAAAATGAGTACTTCATGATAAAAATTTTATTTGCTGAGAAAAAGAGCGATAGAGACAGAGCTTTTTAAGATTTCGGTAAAATTACTTTGGCACAGAGAGTAGGCGGTGGTGATCTATCAAATTCTGTATTGTATTCAATATTTCAGGTAAATAGGGTTTCCGTGAATATTAGAGGCAGATTTCATCCGCTTTTTGTATAAAATGATATTATGCTAAGAAAACGATCATGAGCAAATTTGAGTGAGATGAATTAATTTTCTACCATATCTATTCGTGCGCATGAAAAAGTCAACTAAATAGACTGTAATAAGATATTCGTTAAGTATAAAATGATTTCATGGATTTTTGGTTCCAAATCAGTTTCGGGGTTTGATCCAAAAATATTAATTTTACATGCTTACCCAAATTATGCCCATTGAAATACGTGTTAAAAAATTACCGAAGAATTGGTTGAAGAAATGGCGCCTAGCGGTATATATATAATGATTTTTACTAATTTTTAACAACACATGTTGTACACAAGGCCATGCAATACAGAGATATTTTCCAAAAAGTATTAGATTTATAGTATCAAGTCAGTTGTATGGTAGTATATGAGGCCTAAGGTAATGCAAGGATCAATTCAAGCATTATTGATATTAAACTAAACACTGCTGAAGAAGAAGAAAGAACAGTTTATTGTTGTCAATGCGGTTATCTTGGTACCCTTTTGTAGGACAAGTAAGCTTGTTGTTATTGTCTTCGCTGTCCACATAGACTAAGGTAGACTTCTTATACTTACCACCTCAAGTTCTACAAATAATGTGGAAAAATATGAAATTTTGATTTAAAAGTAACATATACGATTTTTATTATGCCCTCTTTGTATTACATAATATAAATTATAATATTATTTCTTGTTTTTATTACAATTTGCTTCATACTATTCAGGTTACTGTTGTCATTTGCATGAACGTTTGTGAAATGGCCTCAGCTAATTTATTTAGTTTGTTGTTTTTGCTTTTTGGCGTATGTTGCATCTTTTAAATAAATTACAGCTATTATATATTTTCGCATTTTTAGGTTTATTTAATCTCATTTATTAATATTTTATCTATAATTATATTATATTTTATTTATTTGTAATTTTTATTTTCTGTTTTGTGTGGTACATTATTTGCTAGATCGGTAGATATTGGTAGCCTAAAACAAAACCGTTACAGGTTGCTTAGCATAGTTTGCGTTTCGATAAATTTTCTTTTGCGTTTTTGCAATTTGTTGGTGTAATTTTTGGTTTGGGTAACGTCCCTTATTTTGTTTTTTGTTTTTCGTTACGGGCTTCTTATTATATTTTTAATAGTTGCTGCTGTTTTATATTAATTTTTTTTTTTCAATTCGCAAATTTCTCTTTTTTGTTGTTATTTATTGGTTTTTTAATACCTATATGCCACCTTATATATTTTCGATTTGCTTTCAAGGCTACCAAAGAGTACACATACATATGTTAGTGTACACCTACTATGTTTTAATAACCCTCTAAACACTTTTTGTGTAATTTTTATTTAGTCCATTCATTCTCAATGCCTGCTGAGCTTCGTAAAATTAATTACCTTAAAAATAAGTTTTCCATTAAATTTAAAGAAAAATCACTAATTTTAAAAACTAAAAATTGTTTTTTTTTATAATATATTATTACGATTTTTTGATTCATCAGTGCATTTCTTGCCATCGAATTAAATGCAAATTTTATTTAGTTCAAGTTTGTTGCTTTCATTTTGCGCTCTCCTTATCTGCATTTCGTTTCCTCCCCTTCCCTCTCTCTTTTCCTCTCGTCTCATGGGTCTCACTTCGCGTTTTGCCAGCTTACAGCTGTTGCGCACATTTATAATCGCATTAAATGTAATTAACAGTGTCTGGTTGTTGTTGTTGCATTTATTATTTGTTGCTGTTGTTTTTTGTTTTTGTTGTTATCGCTGTCTGCTGGTAATTACACGTAAAACATAATGTTCACTTAAAACTACTATAAAAATACAATAATATTAATTAGCCTAATTTTTTATCATTTATTTACTTTACTTTACTTTGTTTTATTTTAAGCTTCTACTTCTGCCTTTCGACTACCGCGCATCGCTTTTAGTTTACTTTTTCTTATTAAATTTAATTTTAATTCAATTAACACATTTAATTTGATTTAAGTTATCTGTGAGTGAACCTCGGTACGTGCAACGCCGAGCTGGTGGCTGTAGTGGCATGCATGCGTTGTCCTTGCTGTTGTTGTTGTTGTTGCTGTGCAAAATTTTGCCACCACTGCAATTGACTGGACAACAGTTGTTGTTGTTGGTAGCGTTCAATGCGCATAGCACAACATAGATTTGCACTTGGCTGACGTGTTGCTTGTATTTGTATTAGTTGTTGTTGTCGTTCTTGTTGCTTTTGTTGCGGTGCTATACATTTGCTGCTCAATTTGTGCACTGACTGCATCATTTGATTAAAGAATGCAAATGTTGCAATGCATAATTCAACAACTCCACCCAATAATGTCATTGTTGTTGCAGTTACTGTTGTTGTTGTTACTGTTGCAGTTGCTGTAACGCTAGCAATTGCCATTAGCAGCATAACGACAGCAGTCGGTGGTGGCAAACGCCGACTTGATGAGGAAAAGTATGAGCTGAAAAAGTTCGTCATGCTGGTGCCGGAAGAGAGAGTAACTATAAAAGAGAGAGAGGAAAGAGTTGATATTAGCTCTTGTTTTTGTTCGACTGATATGGGGAGTAGTTATTGTAATGTTATTGACATAGTTCAATGCATTTCAATAAAGGTTTGTCTTACATACACAAATTCTTTGAAACTACTAAAAATTTTAATAATCAGAATATGTTTACTGTGTCATAGCAACGAACACATTTTGAAATAAAATGGACCGAAGTAATCCTGAAACTTGTTCAAGTAATATTTATATTACTGCCCCTCACTTATTGTTGACAGTCAGGTTTTCCTAAATCAGTCACCCCTAACCTTTTCGGATCCAGAAGGACCTCGCTAAATTTCTCATTTTTTGACCTCTATGTATTCGTTCAAATTAGTCTAGAGGTCTCCTTTCAATTTTGTAAAAAGAAATTAGTTTACTATCCCTCCTAATAACTTCCGGTTCTGGGGGAACTCGAATCCAAATTTTATTCGAATAAAATTGTCTGCATCTAAGGCCCTATTACTAAAAATGTAAATACATATAAAAGAAAAAAAAACGTAAACATCGAGTGCACCTTAACTTTACTATACATAACTATGTATATTCACAAGAGCATTTTATATAGAGTGAAGTCCTTCTAAGGCAGAATAAGTTGCTAGCCCTAGAAGAAGGACTCCCATCACATGAAGAAACACATAAGTTTTCTTCAAAATACTCAAGTAGGTTCTAACTTGCAAAGTTAAATTTGATCTCAACTAACTTACGGATATTCATTCGAAGAAAATTTTAACTTTTTTTTAGATTCAACCTATTTGAAAATTTCTTTTTCATTTTCATGTTGAGAACTTTGGACACCTATTTGGTTAAGTACCAGAAATGTAATCTAACTTTAATTACATTGGTTAGTTGTATAAAATTGCATCTCTTAATTTTCGAATTACATTGTTTGCTTCTGTGTGGTCTAACTCCTTACTGAAGAGATAAGAGAAATATGTCTGAACCTGTATACTCCAAATTAGTTCATAATCTAATAAACCATATTTAGCAAAGTTTCTTGGCACACTTGAGCACCTACATATGTTCCCATGATTACTTGTTTGCATTTAATTTAGTATCTGCCATCAACTCACCTCTCGCTGGCACCGGATCCTTTTGCGGTGTGCCCAATTCAATTTCCTTATACTCCTGATACAAATCACCAATTTGTGCTGTGCAACGCAAAACCAAACTGCCAACACTGAAGCCACCGCTGCCGCCGCTGCTGCCGGCACCACCACCACTGCCGAAGCTATGCACCGAATTCATGCCGCCATTGTAACCGCCATAACCAACACCACTGTGGAGCAGCGATGGATTTGCGCTGGTGAAGTGTATGCCCTGCAGCTGCAATTTCAGGCTGATGCGCGATGCCATCAAATTGTCAATGGTGCGTACGTATTGTGTTTCCGAGGTGCCAACCTGTAACGATAAGAACGCAGAGCGCGGAAGAGACAGTTTTAGTGTGTGCGGTAATGAAGAGTCAGAATGTGACCACAAATATATTTTTAATTACGATAACATTATGGAAAGGGTAGTTACAAGGAGAATTAAAACAGGCCATGAATTTTTAATAATTTTTACTACCACAAGAAAAACAAAAATTTTTCTTTGGCCAATAATGTAGGCAGTCTAATGAGAGCACTCTCTGAGTAGACTCTCTGGACTTTGAAAGTATTAACGCAAGAAAATTTTAAGAGCAATTTCAATTAAATGCATTGATAGCGCCCTAGTATTACATATCTCATATATATATAATATATATTTGTTGACAATCGCCATAGAAATAAAGGGAAGATTGGACACAATTTCGTTGTTGGAGGCTTTTTGAGCACCCTGAGTGTTGTANTTTGGCCAATAATGTAGGCAATCTAATGAGAGCACTCTCTGAGTATTATGGACTTTGAATGTATTAACGCAAACAAATTTTAAGAGCAATTTCAATTAAATGCATTGATAGCGCCCTAGTATTATATATCTCATATATATATAATATATATTTGTTGACAATCGCCATAGAAATAAAGGGAAGATTGGACAAAATTTCGTTGTTGGAGGCTTTTTGAGCACCCTGAGTGTTGTAAAGGGTTGAGAGAGCGGTGCTGTTGATTACTTAATTAATATCAAATTACTGGGAATATGTTGTGAGATTTCAATAAGAATTATTCCATATCTCTCTATGAGTCTTCGAAGTTTATTGCGGAATAAAAGTAAGCATATTTACAGGAAGGAAGGGGACGAAAAATAGTATATGTTTCCACGGACGAGAAAAAAAACTATTTGTTGATTTCTTTGGGTTCTGAAAAGTAATAAGTCGCTACAGAGATTTTGCGGATTACTATTAATTATATTGATATTATTTTACATTTTTAAAGATGGCAACAACAATAGAAAATATTTTTGTTAAAACATTTTTCTTCAAATCTTTATATATGGAGCTGTCTTGTGTAATCGGGTGATTATTTAAATATCTTTTTATGATATACAATAGTAGTACAACTGAAGCTATAGCTTGAGTTAAAAGGTACTTTAATGAGGCTTCTGTAGATATAAAATTATTACTGTGTAAATAATATTTTAAAAATACATTTTTGATAAATGTAAAAGAAATATAATAATTTAGTAGAATATATGATATTTTCGTATTAAATACATATTATAATAAATAATAAGCAATAAGATAATTTATGTCAGATGTGGAATTTCATAACAATTAGTTGGAAGTCAATACTGTATTAATTAACTTATATTTAGCACTAATTCAGCTGGTGTAGAATTTTTACTTTTGTATGTGTGTGTGTATAAATAACTTCACGTTTTGGCAGTGGAATGAGGCAAAAATTTTGCACCTCGCACCATACCGCAACCGGGAGTTTTTCAGTTGAATTCGCGCTTATGAAATGTTGGCCAAATATTGCGGCTGCATGCGTAATGAGCCAAATTGGTGCTGCCAGGCCAAGTGTGCTGAACTAGAAAGGTATTTAAGTGGGCACCAGGCTGGGAAATTTATGCTAAAAAGAAGAAATAAAATATGCGAAGCATGGCAAGTAGCTAATCGTGGGCGTATTTAAAATGAGATATAAATACATGAAAATAAATTCCTGAAATTTTCGAGCACAGAATTTTTTATTTTAAAATATTTATATTCATTGAACAAATTTTAAATATTTTCTTAAATTCCTTTAAATTTGGCAAATTTTTTATTTCATTTTCTTTGATATGTATGTATGTATGTTTATTTTTATACTTTTCTTGCAACATTCGCAACTACTTGCTCAAAGATTGCTTGAATAGTTGGTGTAGCAGAAATCTTTAGAAATGCCGGTATTTTTCTTGCAGAATTGTAGAAAAGAATTCAAAGCGCAACAATAATGAAATGCACAAATTTATTGTTGCGTAAAGCAGTTAAGCGTTGCTTGTGTTTGTTTATAAAGCGTTGTGCATACACACGCACACACCCCTATATATGGTATAGATGAATAGGTATGTAAATAAATGCGGAAGGTTAAAGCAAGCGAGCTAGAACTAGAAAAATCGCAAGCAATTTAACAAATAATGTAAAAAATAGACCGTGCAGCAATAGCAAAGGAGAGAGAAATGAAAATAAAATGTTGCAAGCGCGTACAAAAAACGCACACAGCAAGCAACGAAAGCACAATACAAATGAAAATGCAACGTGGCAGCAGAAATCAGAGCGGCACGTGAAATGTGCAACAATAATGCAGCGGAAAAAGAAACGGCAGAAATTGAACAACATAAAGAAAAATATAGCAAAATCTTCTTCGCGGAAGAAAGTGATGAATTGCATGAAAATCGTGTTGAGCGAGCTTTGCTCAAATAACAGTTATGCAGCATGTAGAAAATCAATCTGATCATTCGAATTAAGCACTACCTTTGCTTCAGTTATTTTGGAATCAATTCTCGTTTAGATTTAGTTTAGTGGTGGAATTATTACTTAAGAGAAATCTAAAATATTTGATTTAAATGATTAGGTTATCAGTATAGCTTTTTAAAAATCTGAATGACCATTAAAAACTCAAAAGAGAAAAAAAGTCGTGGGAGCCTTAAATTTGGAGACTAAGTTAGCAATAAAAGAAACACTAGATTAGGTTAGGAATTAGAGATTATTCCCAGAAGACAGATAGAAGAAAATTAGTGTAGAATTATGTGAAATTATGCCTGGCAACACCTGTTTCCCATTAATATAAATATATTTTGAAATACACGGCTGACGATCAACAACTTACCCTAAACACAGCCACTTACAAGAAGCTACTACAAAACCTTTATACTAATAGTGCCATCTTGTGGTATAAAATTTCCGCATCGCAAACACAGTATTTGAAGTGCTTTCAGAAACAAAAGTGACCTTACTAAAAGAAAACCATAGGAACTCATATTCGAACCCAACCCAACAAAGGGGAAGAAATTTGCAAATTTTTATGAAAAATTTTCATTAGGAAAATCATAAAAAGTACAAAAGATAATGCCAGTAAATCCAAAAGTATTACTACGCTCCAGAAGTACACAGTGCTTTGTTTGCATCAAACTTGTGTAACCAACAACTTGCTCACCTTGCTACTTTCTGTCATTTCTCCTACTAGTAGAATTTCCACGTTTTCGTGCCTGCCTCTAAATTCCGCGCTGACTAAACGAATCGCTGACTGATTGCTGGTTTCACTACTGGCATTTGTATATACACATATAACTACGCGTAGTTAGACGAATGTTGCATTTTTCACAGTTGCCTGCCATACAATAATCCATAACTAGATACAACGGCGAATTACAATGGTATCAAATGCAAAGGTGCTAGAGTTTTCACTTTTTAGCAACAACAATAGATGTGCAATACTCTGAAAACATTGTTGAACTGCCTTGGTTGAAAGTTTGATTGAGCTTACTGGGGCATGCAAATCGGATTTCTGTACAGTTTTCAACAGATGTAGTGTAATATGGATTTGCGAAAAATGAGGGCTTCGGGTTGTTATTTTGCATGAGAACTATTTGCTTTAAAATGACAGTGATATGCACGGTATATCTTATTATATTAATGCTATAATATATATATTTAAAAAATTTGATCTTTACAACTTTGAGCAAAAGAGTAGCTTCGACCAAATAAACTAAAGAAAAGCATAATTTTCGTAATATATTATAATGTGTACTAACATTACTGAATGTACATAAATTTAACATAACAATGAATATATTATAGATAATATAAGATAAGCGGTATTATTAGCTGAAAAAAATTACTCATACGCCATGTCGTATTTTTACAATGTAATTTAATTGTATCTGCATACATAATTAAATTTTTTAGAAGGTGGCAATGCTGGAACATAAAATCTGAATAATACAAAGTCTAAAATATCACTAATAGCAACTGTATCGCATACCTTTTCAGTTATCTGATTTATTCTAATAAATAACGTCAATAAATGCAGAAACTCGGTTGGAATTTATACTTGAAATTCAACCCGTGAAACCTTTAAAGCAACTGAAAAAGAATTCTGTTTTGTAGCCTTGTATGCTTTTTGGAACATTTATTACAATATTCTACTTAATTCACTAAATTATCGGCCTTCATTTTATGAATAAAATTTATAATCCACCTATTCCACCTATTTCTACAAGATACAATAAGCGCCAGTAGTAACCGAGTATTATTATAAAAGGGTCATCTCAGTCAAGACGCTTAATAAAGTACCTAAGCAGTTCACTTCACTTACACCTCTGCATAAATTTAAAATAGAAACTTGCCCATTTCACGACCTTTTAGCTTTTCACACATTCGAAATCTACAATTATGTTGAAAAGTGCTTAAACATTTTAGCTTAGCAGCAGTATACAAGTAATATACACTCAAAACAACTAATATAAAAAAGTACAAAAATATCATGAACATTTTATGGAAATTATGAAGCAGGAAGCGCTTCACCAAAGTAAATTTGCCTTCGTCAATGAACTAATGAGATCCAACGTAAACGCACACATACAAACAATATTTGCAGGTCAGTATGCTTAAATGCACACGCATACCAACGCACCTATACTCGTATGTGCTAGCAGCTAAGTCAATTACTGCAGCTGGCAGCGATCCAATAAACATATGCTATTTGTATGTAGGATATATACATATTTTGATGATATACTGTGCATTGGAGTACCTTCGCCAATAAAAGTGTTACGTATACGCGATGGCGACCAGCAGAATCAGCACTGTGTGGCTGTGTTATGAAACCCTACACAGACACACACTCATTGTTAGTGAAGGCAGCACTAGCGACGCTATTTGACATGAGCTGATGTCTGCTGTTGTTTTTGTTGAGGTGGGAGTTGTGCCAGCGGTTAAATGTTGGCAGCAGTTGCAAGCACACCCACACATAGAAGTATTTGCGATGATCGCTCACACTGTC